CATCGAAAGCCAAAAACTAAATTCGGATGACAGGGATGAGAGTGGGCGATGTTCTGGCATCGGTGGCATCCTCTCGTTCAACGGCGGTGTCCATGAGGGTGCTTGCAGCGTCGGCTGCGGCAGCGTCCGTCTTGCCAAGGTCCGTAGTTGAACCGTCGGCTGTAACAACACTAGGGATGTCGCGAACCACCCTAGGTTCGATTTCGAAAGGTTTCGATATTTGCGAAGCGAACTGAAGTTCGATTTCGAAAAATTTCGATATTTTCGTACCGACCGAGGTTCGATTTCGAAAAATTCGCAACTTTTGTCCACAGCGGAGTTTCGAATTCGAAAATTTCGAAGCTTTCACGGTTTCTAAAATTTCGAATTCGAATATTTCGAATATTTTTTTAGTTCAGGTTCGATAAATTCGAAGATTTCGAAATTCTTTGTAAAAAGAATTCGAAAACTTCGAACGCTTCGAATTTTTATAGACATGAAGTTCGAGCAATTCGAAGTTTTCGAATTTCTTTTTGCATAAAGTTCGAAAAGTTCGAAGGTTTCGATTATCTTTTAACGCTAAATTCAAAAAAAAAAAAAAAAAAAAAAAAAAACTTCGAAGATTGTGAATTTCTTTCTAATCCAAGTTTTCAAAGTTCGAAGTCCGATTTTCAAGTTTTTCCACAGTTTCAGTTTCAAATAACGTTTTCACGACTCACTGGTTTTCACAAAATCAAGTTTAGAAAAGTTAGGGTGTGATATCCAGATTCTGCGAAGTTGGTCAGGCAATTAAATGAGACGACGAGTGTCCCGGACGTGCTAGAATATTTGCCAGTGCAGAATTGTGACCGCCAGCCCCGGGGGGGTTCTTTAACCTGCATCACGCAGTAGTGATTGCACGAACACACTGTTTTGCGAGACTCTTCCAGTTCGAAACGGCCAGGGGCGAGCAGGAGGTTGAGGCTCAGAAAAACCTTGAAGCGACCTGGCAAACTAGCTCGCCACCCCTTGCACGCTGGTAGTAATCCGATCCGGTGAAGTTTATAATTTTCCTGGAGGTTTATTTTCTGGGATGGAGGAATCGCCTCGCAAAAAGCACAAAAGCCGATACAACTCGAGGTCGAGGAGCGTTCTACCATACAAGTGGCGTCGGAAGAGGAAAAACGGGGGGAAAGAGGGTAGCGGGGGGGGGGGGGGGGGGGGGGGGGGGGGGGGGGGTTTCAGCCTCTTTCTTTCCTTGCAGGTATTTCGGACTGTTAAAGAAAACAATACGGGGAAAGAGGGCGTGGTCGAGCTTATTTTAATCTAAAATTATTTATGCATATGTATAGCTTATGTCGCTCTTCACTGCATAAAAGGTTGCGTAGATGGTCATTGTTAGAAACTCGTTGTCAGAAGGCACTGCTCGTCACATGCTTTGTGGTTCGGAAGTTCAAAGCCGTCTTTTCGACCTAAACACCTGTGCCGGTAGTAACAAAAGAAAAAAAAAAAAAGAAAATAAATGCGGGAATAAAAAGCAGGAGAAAAAAAAACTATCAAGAATTCGTCGGAAGTGTTCTATTCTTGCATATTCAGAGGTTCAGAACTTCGAAACAAGTTTCTTTTACCAAAATGTGTACAGGCTAAAAGAAACACGTCTCAGGAATGTGAAGCGAAAAAAAAAATGTTTTCTTTTAATGACGTGCTGAACTTGAACACTACTAGAAATCTTCTCCCATGAGTTAATTTATTCCTTGACGTGAAAAAACAATAAATACATTATTTTGTATTCTGCAGATGGCAATGATATGTACTGTCTGTGGTGTTAATTTAAATGCGATACCTCAAACAACTTAGACGAAAATAAATATCAAGTTTAGGTCATAATTGCATGCAGATACATGTTTGGACATTTCTTCGAAACTCACGTTGAATAACAATAATCACATCTTAAGACGGCACTTACCTAGGCTATACATAGATCATTCTTAAAAAAGTATAACATATCTACCATAAATAGCTCCGGCTGCAGCGTGCTTCAAATCTGGCACAAACGATAATCGTCAAAAACCCGTCGTCCTTCCTCGCCCCTTCGGGGATTTATTTCTTTAAACCTAAGCATGCCAGAACATTGAAATAAACGACATTGTCTTTCGTAAGGAACGCAGCACCGCGTGTAAAAGTTAGAGAAAAAAGATTACGAATGTACCCCACTACTTGAAATCAAATGAAACCGTCCGCCGGTCTTTCGAAGTTCGACGAACGTCGAACTTTTACCCTAAAAGTTCGAAGTTCGTCGAATTTCTGACTTTTCAAAATTCGAAAGTTCGAAACTTTTCGAATTCTCTTGATAAATAAGTTCGAAAGTTCGAAATTCATCGAATTTTTTGGTCAGTCAAGTTCGAAAGTTCGACAAGCATCGAACCTTGCAGCGCAATAAGTTCGAAAGTTCGAAAAAGATCGAATTTTTTAGCGTAATAAGTTCGACGGTTCGAAAAGCGTCGAACTTCTTAGCTTAACAAGTTCGAAAATTCGACCTCCGTCGAATTTTACGATATAGACAATTCGAAAAATCGAAATCTTTCGAACCTTTCGAACCGCTTGATTCGATCATCGAAACTTCGATTCGAAAAAAGTTCGCGGCATCCCTAAACAACACTGGTTAAACAGAAACAAAATATACCAACAAAATAACAAGCATCACGAGCGCAATAAGCGAAAACATAAACTGTCGGATATCTTCATTTGCTAAGAAACGGCGACACTCGAAACGTGCGAGTAGACTGCGTGTTCGTGTCATTTTTGCTTCCCGCATTCTCGGGGTTATGTTACGTCTGAAATCACCACCAGCTCGTTTGCGCCCTCTTTGTCAGGAAGATTTCTTCGGCAGCTGGTTTATAATGACTCGGCGTAAGATGTGCACACTCCGCTGTCCACTTTCTGAAAAAAACTTGCTACCCATTTTAGTCACGGCCGAATGTTTTTTTTTCCTCACGTATGACATATTACGGGGTCGCCCCGTGACCTGCTGCTGCGGCCATGCCACGTGACCACCGTCAGCTAAATATTGACGGGCAGAACGTTGAACGCCATATTTGGTAAATTTGAATCCAAGGAAATTTAGCGCCATATAAGCCCGTTAAATATAGCGGATAACGTCACGTTCGTGTGGCATATTTATGGCGCTTTTCTTTGTTCGTGTGTTTTCAATATATCATGCTGCAGTGCATTCTGCAGCATGTACGCTAACGCTTTAGAGGCACCTTAGAGGGCCCGCAAAAATCGGATTCTTAAGGTATCGCGCTGAGACTTACTACGGAGCTTCAAGGAGGTAGGGAAGTTTACAGTAATGAAATCAAGAAATAAACTTACCTCTTCCAAAAGAAAAAAAAAAAAAGAAAAGAAACTGCTTTGGGCAATCTATGCCGCCACTACGCAGATTATTGTTTCACTAAGGAAACTAAAGCAGCTTGGAATATTTTAAAATATTTGTCTCAATTTCATTCACCCAACGATTTCCCAAAAGACACGTGACCTCGGAGAGCAATTGAAAAAGTAACAAATGTTACTCCGAGAAGTAATGGCAATTTTTTCTTGGGGTTGACCAGTAAAGTCATACGTTCAAATTACGGCACGACTTGTTGTAAGGGTAATTTTAACCGGTTTCATTTTACAAGCATTGTGCACAGAAGTGATGAACACATCGAATTAACCCTGTAGGGAGTGACAGGGGCGCGCCCTCACCGTTCGCAACTACAAGAGTCATAAACTCGCCTGGATGAGAAAACAATCGAAAAACACCACAATCGCATTACTTCAACTTGAAAAAAAGAAAAAAAAAGGAAAGATGCTAGGAATCTGTTCAAACAGAAGAACTGCTTCGCTGAGAATATGAAAACAGTAGAAAATCTCTACACAAAAAAAAAAAAAAAAAAAAAAAAAAAACGAGAAACGAAATTGCACAGCATTCTGCCTTTATGGCTATAATTATTGTGCACGTGGGGAGAATTAAATTATATTAAAAAGAAGAATCATTATTCGTGAAGCTACATGTTATTCTTGAGGTATAAAAATAAAAATCGCCTCGAACAAAAGAAGAAAAAAGATCTTGCAACGCCTTAATCATTAAACAATAGATGTCCATATAAAGAGAACCATAAACGCGTAGAGACGCGAACTTGAAGCTTGCGCCGGTAAGTCGAAACTGTGAATTTCTGGTACTTCCTCGTAATGCCGTAATTTCAGTGTCACCTCGGGATTCAGAAACGTTTGTTTGTTTTAAAATAAATATATTTTTAACGCACAAATATATTTATGGTGGTCTATATTTTGCTCAAATAGGCACTGATTTGTGAAGTTAATTAAATTTAAAGGTATCTGAGCGAAACAACGAGTCATACAGGGTGTTTTCTGGGATTGTTTCGAAAACGTACAGAGCGCGACACTGTTAGCGCAAAAAAGCGATCGCCGTTTTTTTTTATTTTTTTTTTTTGGAAACCAAGGGATGTCATCCATGCTATTATTGCTACGGAAAGAGCACATTTAGTTCTATAATGTAAGCGATAACATTTCCTGCTCGTTAATACTGTTTAGAAGAAAAATGCGAAAATGCGCCGATGTCGTGTTCACGCTAACAGTCTCGAGATGTGTACAAGAATGCCAGTACTGGACCATTCTAAAGTCCAGAATTCTATGACACATCTGGCCTGATTTTGTTAGCAATACTGTCAGTCAAGAATGCACACCTTAAAGTTATAAAGACGCCTCAAAACACCATATAGATTTCGCGACTCATTCCCTGAAGTTAAAACAATTTTGGAAGATATGAGGAAATTTGTAAATATTTAGTGGAAATCACTGATTAGATAATGCCAAGAAATCCAAACGGCATTTGGTTAAGAATGTAAAATAATCTTAATATTGGCAATTTAGGAAAAAGAAGCTCGAAATATTTGAGTTTATTTTTTAATCAGCGTATTTAATTGTGTTTTTTTTTTCAGGACGACGATTCCCGTGATAGCGTTTCACGTATTAACGTAAAAATGCAACTGACCCTCTTCATTGTTATTGTTACCTTTACACATTTGTCTTGTGGTAAGCATTTACTGAATACCAATATTTTACTACTTAGTGATATGAGCAATGCTCTAAGAAATTCGGAGAGTCTACTTTCCCGCAAAGAATTTGAAAGATCCATTCAAAAACACTGAACATGACGCTTAAACCTGCTTAGTGTGACAGTGCAGACTGTATTTTAGGCCTAAATATATTTTAAGGCTTGTCGTTCACCAAGCCCTCCCCCACGTAGATTGTGTGACGACCATTGACAACCGTGGTCTGATTGGTTCGGTTCCAGGAGGAGAACTACTCGTGCATTTGTTGCTGCGCTTTATACTCTAGGTATCTATGTACAGTGGGCCAATTTTTTAATAATATCAAGCGAGCGTCGACCGCCTTGACGGTCAGTGCCGTGCCGCGGAGGCTTGCGGCGATACGGGAGAGATTAGGCGCTTGCGCACAAAGTTCTTTCTGGTGGGAGCGTCGTCTGCTAGGCTCTTCCTTTGATCGCACACAGCCTCTGCTCCGTATACACCAACTCATCTCTGTGACGTCACGGCGCGGTGGTGGCGCGTCGGTCGCACTTCCGGTCTGGGGCTGTGGGCAGAAGTCCCCATGCCAGACGTGTATTCCTGCGTTGTTTTGAAGGGAACCAGACAAAAAACTGCCTTCTCGTCGAAACGCCGGGACTGGGGCCGTGCCAAAAGAGTCGAGAAAGATTTGAAGGCCAGTTTTTACGTGCTGGGTTCGTCCGAGAATCTGGATATGTGCCGTGAAAAGGGAAAAGCAAACGCCGACGGACAACGATTGCTTGGGCGGGAAGCACTTTGAGTTGAATTCACGGATACTTGTGGTCATCAGATTTATTTGTTTTATTCCAACATGGACGCCAGAAAACCATCAAGTTGTGCGGACCATCTGCGGACTACGTTCAGTGCGTCTGCAAGTTCAAACGGCCGCCTGATCGTTCGAACTGTCGTCTGCTCTTTCAAACGTTTCTGCTTGTCGTCTGCTCTCTTAGACGACGCCGGCCTGTAGATTAAATGTTGGCCCGGTACTTGCTGTACGAAGTAAGTGCAGGTCTCAAAAGACTTCAGTTTGAAGGTTGGTAAGCAGGCTCGATGTAAACAGTAAATACAAGGAGATGTTGATCATTGTTGCGAGTGGCGGTCACTGACTTGCTATGCCTAATTGACTTGGTCCGATTCTGCTTGCGATTTTCAGAATCGACGTCGACTATCTCAACTACGGTTCAAGCTTTTGCAGCCCGGGCGGCGTCGCGACTGAAAATTGCGAACGAAATCTCATCATGCGAATCAGGTTTTAGCGTGCATACTGCGGCGTCCACGCGGAATGAATCGCCACATGTCACATTATTCACGCGAAGTTTCGCGGTGTAGCGAGCCTCGGTAATTTCGCTGACGCCGCTCAAGCAGTCAGACATCGCCAGGAAGACGTAGAATCAACAATTCGAATGCGAAAAAGAGCAGGGGGACTAACACCGACGCCGACAACATCGCATTCCAAAGGTTTGTTTACGGGCGACGGCGAACTTCTTGCCCACACCCCCATCGCGCATGCGCGGCGCCGGTGGCGTCCGCTAGGGGCGCTCCGGTTTGTTTGTAAACATGAGTTGGTGTATAGACCTTTGTCCGGAAGTGCTCTTTTTAGCCTCGACCGCAAGGAGCAAAAGCGAACAATAATCTCGAACCCAGACGCTCACGGGGAGGGGGGGCTGCGTCGGCCTGCGCCGCCGGTTCCCGTTGAGGGCTTCTTCGCTGGTGTGCCGACTGCCGTTTCGCCGGCATCGGTCCTGTTTACCGCGGTATGTGAGTATAGTGCTCGTAATGTGAGAGCCGTGTGTCCATACGCCACTTTGCCGTTGTTGGTTTTCATCTAGCCGAGCCAGAAAACATCTCGCGACGAGTTGACCGCGCCGCGAGTGACGAAGAAGAAGCAAACATGGCGACGGTTTGTGCGATTGCTTTGGTGGCTCCGGTGTTGAGTGTCTTCAACGTCCTCGTGAGAAGGTTCCCCTGCCCTTCGAAGTTATTGCAAGCACCACGAAAGATGTGGAATCATCGTCTCAACTACAAATAAACAGGCCTTCACGAGCAACAACGGTGCCGAGCAGGCGCTCGGCACATTTGTGTCAGGCTCACGCAGCCAGCGGCACAGTTGTGTTGGTTGTGTCGTCAGATGTTCAACAACGCCGAGGTATTTTCATTTATCATTTGGAATGGCTTCAAGAGTGGGAAATTAATCTATTTCGCGGATTGTTAACGCCGAGGCGAGTGCCCTCCGTTGCAGTGCCGTCGTCGCGCAAAGTGCAGAGAAAACCGGGTGGCGATGGCGGCGGTGCTCTTTGATCTTGCGCCGTCGGGTTCATGAAGTCCGGAGTAAACGTACGTACGTGCGTCTGCTGGATCGGTGTTTTGGACTTCCTCAAAACTCTTTCTCACGCGCATTTTCCTTGTGAAGCTTAGTAGCTCATTACACCTCATCGTCGACCGCGCTCATTTGACTACGACGGACGAGCCTGCGTGATGTGAATTTCACTGCCTAAGATCCTTGGTGTGCTGTAACGAGGGCTAATAAAATATCGCCGCGAACTTCTGAACAAACGAGTCGAAGTTTCGTCTGCTATCATAACTGATCGCCTGTCACAATATTAATCAGTAGCGTTCCTAGACTCCGCCCCCACAGGCACCGTGCTTCGTTGCCCGATAGTAAGTGTCTCCTGGTACCTCGTAGAATTCCAGCTCCCACTTCAAGTAAGTAGCATCCTTTAGAACTGGCAATTAATAGTTTCGAACCCAGACGCTCGCAGTGTGTGTTTGTGTGTGTGTGTGTGTGGGGGGGGGGGGGGGGGGGGGGACGCGTGCTAACATACTCGGAGCCCTCGTTTACGCCGCTTCGCAGCGGCAGACAAGGCGCCACATTACAAAAGAAAGCTAATCCGAGCTGTCTATGTAACTAGACCCATTCGCTAATCATTCGATGAAACGTCGTGGTCTCGTTTTCATTCGCTAAAACTGCGTTCGATCAAGTGAACGCCTCCCACTTATTTCGGCTCGGCAGAGCCGCGCTGCCGCAGAAAGGCAAGCAGATCGCGAAAATCGGTCTCAAACGTGCCACGAATATAATGTCGTATACAAGAAGCCAACAATCAAGCATTTGAAAGCTACAAGAAAGCGGTAGCGAAATATTTACTACGCAATGAACCCGGACTGAAACGCGGATGTCAAGGGTCAGCAGACACCGAGAACATCTAAGACAAGAAAGGTTTTCCCTTATTTTCCTTGATCGAGGTGGGTTCTCGAATGTTCACGACATCTTGCCTGTCGAAGAACGGGCCGCAGAGGCTTCTGGTGAAGACATCTTTCACGATGTGTCGGTGCATTCGGACAGCCTGCCGCATCCAGCTACCCAAAGCAACGCCGCCAACGCAGCCCCCCCTCCCTGCCTGCCAGTTCTTTCCGCGTGGTGGCGCGAGCGTAGATAAACATGGCGGCGCCCCGGAATTGGCGCGGACACTGGTCTATACCAAGGGAGCGCAAAGCGCTTGCAGTGTCGAGGTGCATCGCCGATACGCCCTTCCTCTTGGGATGCGTTCACAATCCCATTGAGTGTAACCTGTGTATCTCGGCTGTTGTTGCTATCTCCCTTTGTGCCACGCCGCCCAACGACATTCTCACAACACGTTCCCGTGGTTGTATAAGCACTTGAGGAAACATAAAAATGTGCGCGCGCCCGCTGGTTAAAGAAAAAAAAAATGAGAGGCGCTATCAAGCGGCTGCGGTGCAGCTTCACACTTGGTTACTGCGCAAAGGAGGCGCACAGCTGGGCACACGGCGGCGCCAGTGCGTCTGCCGCGGCTATGACGTCACTCCTCTGGAATGCGCAGACCGGCGAGGCGCGCGCGGCGGCGGTGGCTCCGGCGCGCCAGCTGTGCGCCGTGTGACGTCACTGCTCCTCGCGCATGCGCCGCACGGCTCTCCAGGAGCCACGCGAAACACCTCGGCCAGTGTAGCTCAGGCTACAAAAGTGTGACTACCCGGCTACATAAACTAGATGACGACAGCAGCAACGTAGCTGACAATACAAAAACCAAGCGGAAGCCCTGTCTATAGTCCGTTTCACTTTGTTTTGTACCGCAGCCGACGCTACGAGTCATCTTGGCCAGTCCATCGCTAAAAGTGTGTCGCGTGGCCTTCCCGTTGGGTACAACTGCACGCGGAAGTACGATGTCACGTGGCAGGGGGAAAGCATTGAATTATTTTTTATGGCTGGTAGCATTCGCTGCAGTGTATAGATCAATGCAGCGTTGCATTCAGTTTGACGTGTCACCGTATTTTTTAAATTTTTGTTGGTACTCACAAATAAAACGCAAACATAAAATGAAAAAAAGAAAAAAAAAAAACTAAGCTCGAGATGAGGCGCGGTTTATGCCACGCCTGAGCAGTATCACGCAAGCAAGCGCCCTTCCGATCTTTGTTTAAAGGCGGTCAGCTTTGCCAGCGGACAACGAACAAGGGTGGTGTGCGCTCATCGGAACAGCCTAGCAGACGACGCTGTCGCCGGAAAGAGCTTTGTGCGCACGCGCCTAATCTCTCCCGTGTCGCCGCATTCCTCCGCGGCACGGCACTGGCACTCCCGGCGGTCGACGCTCGCTTGATATTATTAAAAGCTTGGGCCACTCTATACGCATGTGGTGGTTGCTTGGGAACAGATTACTCTGCAAGGTCTTAACAGATTGCCGCGATTGGGTCTCCCGACTGTTTTGCGCGGAAAGTAGACGTCCCAGATTTCGTAGAGTTATAAAGAAGTAAGAAGTAGTCCAGGGAAGCTCACTAACAAGGTTTATTTTGTGTTATGCCGTCAAGCAATAACCCTCGGCAAGTATGTTTACTAAATATGTATTTTTAACCTGTGTTTTTGATGATCGTAGATTTTAGTGAAAATGAAAGTTTATTTTAAATTATTTTGTAGAAAAAGAAACCTTAAAAATGTATGGGTTTCCAGAGTGGTAAAAGTTACTCTTAAAAAATGTTTGAGATGCAGCTAGATGTTAGTGTAACCCAGATGTAATTGAGCTTCAAACACAGCTGCAACTTTGTAGGTGCATCTCGTTACAGTTACAGTTGCGCTCAAAAATACTGAATGGTCCACCTACCTCTTAGTTTCCAGGGAAGGATAAATAGCGGTTAACTAAGAGAAACAATAAAATCACGGTCAGCTGCTATCTTTTTTAACCAGAATTGCATTTTAACGAATTCCAACACATATCTCGTGAATACGCAAAGCGTGGCGTAGCACATATTTATTTATTTACTTCAGTTACACTATAGCGCCCTCAAGGGCGCTATAAAGTATTTGAAGGTTAGCAGGGTTGGGCATATGCAAAGCACTTGTTCCGCAGATAACCTGCCAAACGTTCGCGTGTTGACGCATGATCAGTCACCCCACACGAGGCTCCGTCGCTTCATCCTGTAAACTCCTCAGCGCGTTGTCGAAAAAAAAGGAAAAAAAAAAAAAAGACGTAAAAGGGGCCAGAGGCGACGCTTTGTAAAGACGCGGCGGCACGTACTGAGAAGGCGGATGTTGAACGTGAGCGGCGGCTGCTTTTCTCATAAAATACAGCTCTGCGCATGGCGGTTTCATCAATATATTCAAATAAAAATTAAACATCTAGTTTTTTTACCTGACAGAAATATTTGAATGTCTCATATGCATCCTTAAGCATTGGCTTTGTTTGAATGTCTCGAAGACGTGAATCGCGATAGTCAAGTTGAGGGGGCTGCAGGCCACATTAAGGAAACCTGTCGGCGATATAAACACAGCATGTTCGTCAACAAGCGGTCAGCTTGATGGTCGTTCGCTGTGTTGCCTCGCATTATTTTTATATTTTGCGAACATCTGCACGATATTGATGACAGTGACGATGTTTTGTTTGAGTAACAGCATATAGGCGAACTAAAACGAGAAACGAATTATGCCGAATGACACATGTTGACCGAATTGGCGGCTAAGTCAATTTTGGACCGGAAACATACCGACACAGATGGCTCAAATTGAAGTGTGTCCCGACAGTAGGTCTTGTATTTTGCGTAGGCATTCGTCTAAATCAAAACTTGGCCGACAATATTTAACGGTATTCAAGCTTTATGTGGAGCTGAAATAATGCGGTATTTTACACGCCACTTTGGAAAACAAGACTTGATAATTTCTTAGCTAAGAAATTGACTAGTAATAAAATTGAAACTTTCCGGGGTGATTGGACGACGTCATGAAGAAACAAAAAAAATAAATTTCATAGTCACTCGGCAAAAAGACATGAAATTAAATAAAAATAACAATGAAAAGACTAGCGATGGCGATTTAATGCTTATGATAGGAGAGAGTTCACGTAACCATGAGTTACGACACCTAAAGATAATGAATTCTTAGTTCCAATGAAACGCAAAAAAGGCAAACATCAAAGAAATTTTAATAATAGGCTCATTGGTAGCTTAGCCTGACGTTGCGGTAGAAAATCTTAGTTATATATCGAGCTAGAAACCTTCTTTTTGTGCAAGGCTCGTCAAAGTAGAAAAACGCAACAATCTGAGTTAAGTTCTTTCTTTGGAACATGTTGACGCTCCGCCCATTCAAAATCACGGCGAAATAGCTCACGCGCACTTTTTGTGAAACACTTACTTTCTCATGGACGACGGTCATCCCCCAGCAATCTCTTGCGAAAGCTAGAATAGCTCGTAAAATCGCATTCCTGTGTCGGGCGCACGCTTACGGAAGTAAAAAAAACAAAAAAAAAAAAAAAACATTTCGGTGTGTCCCCGTGTTCTCTGCAGTGGGTGACGTCACCATCGTTGCCCTACTTAGTACGATTCGGCGAACAGATCTGCTGCCAGGTGAACACAGCAACATGTTTCTCGCGACTTACTCCCACCGAAATTCGTGAGGATTGCCGAAAACATAATGCATTTGTCTCGACAAAAAAAAAAAAAAAAAGCTTCCTCTGTTTTTTTTTTGTGTACGGATGCTGTAAGGGTGCTCAGTTGTCAAACCCATGTTTAAAGGGGCGATGCAACGACTTCTGTACTTTGCGGAAATACCGCTTAGAACGGATTCCTGACCCTGAACTCTAAAAAAAGCCCGTGCGTCTTCTTTCCCGCACAACACTCGGAGAGCCAATCACCGCAACTTACGGAGGCAGCTCAGCGAATGACAATTCCGAACATATGTTTAGACCAAAAAACGCAGTCTGAGTTGTGACATTAAGCAATGCAAAACGTCACACTCACATTGCTTAATGTCACAACTCAGACTGCGTTTTTTGGTATAAACATACGTTTCGGCATCGTCATTCGCTGAGCTGCTTCCTTAAGTTGCGGTGATTGACTCTTCGAGTGTTGTGCGGGAAAGCAGACGCAAGGGCTTTTTTTAGAGTGTAATAACCTATGAAACACGCGTTCGTTTTTCGCCACACCCACAAGAAGTCGCAGAAAAAAAAATGACGAAAAACGAGCAGCGTTCATTTCCTCAAATCGCAGCCAGAACAAGCGGCCACGTGATCTGGAGCCGATTATATTCCGCCAATGTTGATTGAGCGCTGGGGTTGGCCAAGCACAAGGCAGGCGCTGAGTTCCGGACATTGTTATGGTTCGGCTATTGTCGTCATTGCAGCGATTGGACATGGGCCACTACCCGAATGCTACTCGAACTATCAATTATCACGAGACCAAATCGAGTGTCCACCCAACGCTGGGGTACAATCTATGAGCCGCATTCAAGTATCGCCACAGGAGGGTGCTGCGATACCCCCAGTTACATCATCAAGTTATGCGAAGGAAGGAGAGATGGAATGCTGGGGGGAGGGGGGAACACTCGGTTTTGTCCTTGAAATCACACCGGAGTTTCTTGGCCAGTGGCGTTGCGTGCGAGTATCCTTGAGTCCCACTACTGCCAGTAAGCTCGTGTAAAGTAAAAAAACATTTTAATTGAATATTGTTGCACCACCCCTTTAAGAAAAACTGGAAACAGAGGATGGCAGTGAACAACGAAACGAAAATTTCTTCACCGCGTGCACATTTCTCATCAAGGTGATACCGGGTACCACCCTTAACGCATCGAATTCTTAGACGACTATTGGCTGCAGTGTATTTTTTTTGTAATCACTATTGTGACAATAGTGCTTGTGGGATTTGGCAACGCTTGGGGTTACCACGAGAACGATCAGGGTTTTAACTTCAAGCCCCCCTCGGCCGGGATCTTTCCTTGATCAGTATTTCCTCTACTAAAACATACCGATCCATTCTCGGCTCTCGTCGTGTTTATGCCTTAGAATTTACCTGAACGTACTGTGCGTATGAAAGCAGGGTACGTACTTTTTGTATAGATGGAGAAGTAATTCGCAGAGCCAAGAAAGTCACTTTTTGTGTCCGACGCATGACGCTGCGGAACCTTTATTAGTTTGATTGGCAGGTGAAAGTTCGCCTAATTGAATAATCATTGTCAGCTCTACATTCGCCTACTCTATATTCACGGCAATATTCCAAATTTTGAGGTTTTCGGCACATTTGTTTTCAACCCCTGATAACCGCGACTGAGCGAATTATCCATTCCCAAGAGCCAATTCCTACCTAGTTTGTTTCGTAAATTCAGTTGTGGCCCTTCCCTCAAAGGAAATTGAATCATTTGGAAAAAAAAGACATAAATATCTCATAAATAAAATTTTTTGTTACTAAGATTTGCGCGTACGATTTGGCAACCCGCTCAAATTTCAAATGGTTTTCATCAGTAGTGGTGAGGTGCGTCATTAAATATATATCTTTTTTTTTTCTTTTCAAGATTGATTCTTAAACGTGACAAAATATTGTTTTCATAATATTTATGATGTATTCTGCGTATATACGAAGATTTTGGTCAAATGAAATATTGTTATCTAGATATACGCACCCCCGTTTTTAAGATGTATAGTGATGCATATTTAAACCCTTTAGGCATTAGTATAAATTGTTCCATCGAAAGGGCGGGTTTGTAAATGAAGGACATCCTGCCAGAGTGCGTTATGACGGGAGGAAACCAACTAAATGAAATAAGTTGATTGTATTTTTAAAGTTAAAGTTTTGCATCTCAATAAGCCTTACAATGTATTCATTCCAGAGGAACGATCGGAATACATCCCGGATGTCCATGAGCAGTTGGAGTACTTGCCACGAGATTGTAGAGACAATCTAATAAATCAAGCAGAGTACAAATGTATGCAATCATACAGCCACAAGGTAAGCAACTCATTACTTTGGAATATATGACTGTTACTTGCAGCGTTTCTAGATCGACTCATTTGGCAAGGTTCCAACTAGTCAGATTCTGCCTCAACTTGAACGACATTCTTCACCAGAAAGTTCACCTTAGTCGCCAGTGCATTAAAACCTTCTTTCACACTGCGGCGCCTGTCCGAAACGACACCTCCGAACGCAGCCTCAGTGGGCAAAAGTGGTTATGGTTCAATTAGCTGGTGATTAAACTTGAAAGAAGTGGTTCAGACGCTGTATTCAATCGTTTATGCAGGTCAAGTGACCCAAATGTGTGCCCGGTGCTTCGAAAATAAATTATAACTACACTGACTTGACCACTGAAGTAACAAATTACCATTTAAAATTGCTTGCCGTGAAAAGTAATTAAACTTAAACGTTGTTACTTTATTCGACTACTTCTGAGTTACACAATCACAATCATCCAAGACATGCAAGGTTTGCTAGACTCCCCAGGAGCTCCGCCGATTTTTGTATTGTCTAATTTGGCTGGAAATTGGCAGACCGCATCAATAACCGTTTATCAATAGCTGCTAGCCAAAATATTTTTTTTTCAATTTGATTATATGTTTTTTTTTTATTTACACGAGCGCTGTCAACTGTCATTGCTTAAAGAACAGTTAACTCAGTCGCGATCGTGCGGATGTTTCACGGCGGCGCCAACTCTCACTGAGCCGCTTACGATCATTGAGTTCAACTGAGCTGTGCTACATCAGTTATCTGGGGGAAAGAGGGGAGGGGGAGGGGGGTGGGGGTTACATCAATTCGCCCTTTTGTGGCAACAAACTCAGTGGCGCCATCTATTGAGTTGTCGCGGCATACTTTCGGTTCAGGTATATGTCTTAACTTTTTGCCCATACTTTTTTTATCATAGGAGTGAATTAAGTCTGACAGTGCTATAAGTGCCCATTTCCAGACGATAGCGCGTGTATTTGATGTGGCAAATTATGCGTAACCCGCGGTCTAGCTCAGAACCGGAAGTAGATGGGGCTATTTGCACACATGCGCCACCACGTTTCAACTCCCGCGACAAAGAGCGAACAGAGATAAAGATGCCGGCTTCCGCCATATTGCCGCCGATGGCCAGCGCCAGCGAAGCATTTACTATTGCGGAAGATTGAGGGAGGTATCTGGAAACTATCGTAGCAGAAAATGTTAGAGACTTCCAGCAAACCTTATCAGCGTTCCGCGTACCGCACTAACGGAGCCTTTGAAGCAGCCCGATTGATACCCTGACCGTGGAGCGCGCGCTAAAAATCATGCTTCAAACGCTGAAATAGTGCGGTACGCGGAACACGGGAACGTTTTGCTAAAAATCCCTATTGTCCGGAGAGATATGACTGGGGTGCAGAGCTACCGCTAAAACGATCACGGCACGTTGCGGAAACGCACGCTCAGAAAGCGCGGCCATTGTGATGTCGGTGCCGATAAGGCTTTCGTTGTGTCTCTCTTGCTCAAAATTGTGTTAACCGTTATCATTATTGTATCTTTACTTTTAAAATAAAACAAAACAAAACAATTACGTTTTGCCAAAACGGTTATAATGAACATAATGTGCGCATATAATTTATTTGCGCCGCGTAAAGAAATAAAGCTATGGGACATCAGTTTAGCTTTTATCTCGGTTTCCACGGGATCGAAACTTGAGGTTGTTAGGCGTGTGCACCTTGTTACACTTGGTAACACCGGACAACTTAGTTGAGCTCGATGACAGTTGTTAGATGCCAGCGATCGTTGGCTCAATGATCGTTGAAACGGCCCGTGTACAGAGGTATCACATGACGGTGTTTTATGCAGAGGTCGGCATTTTAGGTCGCCCTCACTTACTCTCACCCTCACCTCAGCCCCTCACCCCCATAGCTCCACTACTCCCTCAACCCCTCACTCACCCTCCCTCTCGCACTCACCTTCAGTTCTTCACTCACCCTCACGCACTCGTTTCCCTCACGCCCCTCATGGCCCTCACGCGCTCACGGTCCTCACGCCCCCACGCCCCTCACGATCCTCACTCACCCTCACATTAATAAATTTTCGGGGTTCAGAAACTCACCCTCACCTCACCTGTGAAGATGAGGGTGAGTGAGGGTGAGAGAGGGAAATCATGAGTGAGGTTTGCTGTGGTATGCCGCCAACAAGCAAAACGCCGCCCGTTCAGCGGCGCCTCGCTGTCTGAAGCGGCGAGCGAGCGAGCCCCCGACCATTCCGACCCAGCTTCCTTTTTTCTCCCCAACGTAACGAAGAAAACGGCCAACCAAACGCTTGTTACGCAAACCGGGCTATCAAATAGCGCCAAGCAGCGAGCCTAAGCTCGCGCTAACCGAGCAGACGAGGAACTGGACAGAGAACGAACTCACAAGCCGAGGAACAATGGAGAGCCATGACCGGACTGGAAGCGCGCGCTCTCTTTCTCTTAGAGAGCGCGCGCTCCCAGTCCGGCCGTGGGAGAGCAAAAACAATGACAAACAAAGAAAGAACAACAACAGCAGCTTGCATGGTGCATGGTGCCTGCTCCCTCCTTTTCTAATGTATAATACCGCGGACCCGCTGGGGTCCGCGAAGCCAATTTTGGGGTCCGCGAAACCCTCGCATCAACCTTCAACCCTCCCCCCTTAACCCTCCCCCCTTTTCATGAAAAAAAATGTGCTTTTTTTTTTGTCGAACCTGGCAAGGTGTCGCAAGCAACTGCCCGTAATAAAGGGTACACGCCGTTACCATCTATCCAGTCACTCATCCTTTTACGTGATGTTCCCCACTAGTCTTGTTTAAAACACTAAAGGATGCACTTTTCACACTGCAATTAGTTGTCTTATTTTACACCTACCCCCTTTACCCTTCCCCCGCTAACATAGAGCCCCCCCCCCCCCCCCCCCCCCCCCCCCTCACTTTGGCGGGTCCCCAAGGGGTTCCGACACATCCATGCCTGGGAACCACTGTACTAAATTATAAAATCAGAAACCAAGTGAGGGAAAAAAGCGGGGGGGGGGGGGGGGGGGGGGGGGCGGGGAGGATGTTGGAACGCGCGTGTCATACCATATCACATGAGCAGCCTCATACCACAATCCCTACAAGTACCAGCAGTGAACAAAACAGAACAGCTCAATTAAGAAAAAACGACGGAGAAAAAATACTGCTCTGCAAGCTGCAGATCGAAATTTATAAAGTCATTCTCATCTTCTGCCAAGGATGTAGCGTCGGTTGCCGTGGTGTTTTCCGACGCATCGTACATTCGCACCGTCTAAGGAGGTCTTCTGTCGTTGAGTTTGAACCAGGAAGAATTCACTCCCGGTTGAATGGTTTTTGAAGTTTTCCCACAACACCACACCAAGCATGTACATCACAGGCGTATATACCCAGTAAAATGCACCCCATAGTCTACTTATCATTCACCACTTTTTAGAGGCGAAGCTCCTTAGGGTCTAGTCTTGTCCATCCGTCCGGCGTCCGTGATGACATCGATTGCACTGCCTCCGGTATCGGCCCAGATTATAAAAAAAAGAAAAAACGTACGCGCGCACGGGGGTTTGAACTCAGGACCGTTTGCTTACGTCTTAACCACCACGCTGCAATCCAACGTCGCATGTAGCCGCTCAAGGTCTATACAGGAGAGGGCGCTGCGGTCAAATGCGTATATAATCGCATTAAACTTTGCATGCATTGGCTCAACGTTTATAGACGAGAGGGCGCTGCGGTCAAATGCTCAACTGCGTAGGTAACCAGGATTCATACCACACATTCTCTTTCTGACATGGACCGTGGAATTAAGCGGTGGAGATGCGTTCCCATAGCTTCTAGCGGATCCAAGCTGATCCGCTAGAAGAACCACTGGCTCTGCATTTCACCGACCATAAAGCAGGAATAATGAAGTCAAAACGCAACCCGGAACTCGGCACTACCTATGAAAAATAAAATCAGTATCATCAGCACCACCAGAGCTTCGCCACAATCAACACCATTCACCACGTGGAGATGCGGCATCTTTTTTCATATTCTGCGAAAGTTACCGTATAACGCATACATAAGGAATAGACGGAATTAAAGCATAATTTTTTCTTCGTTAAGCTTAGCGGGTAAACGCTTCCTACTCCATTTTGCGGTAAAATGTCTATTGCTAAATTTAGTGGCTAAGAGTATCCTTTGCCTTTTCCTGAGAAATGTATCACTCTAAGTTTAGTGCGAAGTGTTCTCCCGCTAAATTTAGCAGAAAGTTTACTTACTAAAGTTTGCTACTGAGAACCGACGACTGTGAGAGACGACGACGATCGCACATCACTATCTGCTGGGATTGCGTTTTAGATGCGGATACCGACATATATAGAAATAATCTAGCTCTCAGATTATTCTCGCAGTCGTAAAGTACACTAATAACACAAGAATCAAAATGGCCTTTAATGCCTTTGGGATATAGGACCATATGACTGCAATGTAGATGCAAGTGAATTTCCCAAGAAAGAAAGGTTTGCCACAGAAAATTAGTTTCTTGCAAACTAGCGGTCACGCGACCTTGCTTTTTTTCTTTTTTTTTTCTTTAAGCCATAGCCTCAATTTTTACGCGCAGAGAACCTTGCTGACCGATATTTCATGTAGTGTCCTTTTTTCAGCTTATAGAGATTAAAGATTGCCAAGTTAAATGTGGAAGCGCAGACGAAACCACTGGTATGAAGTTAACAAGTAGCCAAATGTTTCGTATGAAGGATGGCACCCCTTGTGGTCACAGTAGGGTGAGTATTATCAGAATTTCTGAGCGCCAAAGTCATGCGATCAAGCGATTCCATCTAAGCGGACAGATGTAACATTGTAGTAGTGAAGATTAGTTAAAAACACTGTGACGAAAATTACTTATTGCACTCCTGCAAAAACACTTTCGAACAGAGAATTCGCACATACAAACACTTGCATAGAGAAACGGAAGTTGGATGTCCGTGCAGGAATGTGCCACCCGACGTCCTGCCGTGACGCCACCTCAGGTCACGTGGCTCACCGTTTAATGGGACATATTGATATGGCCATGTATAAATTACGTACGTAACGTTAGATCTGTAATGGCGTGACATCCGTTCGTGATGCACTCTTTCATGCACTCTAAAGTGCGCCCCCAGATATGGCGTTCAGTGAATACCCTCTATGCAACAAGTTCACAGGTGTTCCTGTTCATGTTACAGGACATAGTTAACTTTGATGCAACATTTAGAAGAAAAAAACACTTTACACCCATTTAGCAGGGAAACATTCATGCTACATTTAGCGGGAAATGGATGTACACTCCGTGCGCGGGTCATTCGTATATACACTCTAAGCCCGGTCCCACTTAGTAAGAGGGACATTTCTTCGATTTTTTCCCACTTAACTTTAAGGGGGGCGACAGACCTCTTAATATTACATGGAGATGCTCCCTCTTAATTAAGTGAGACACCACCCCTCTTAAAGTAAGCGAGGCGGCGTCTCCCTTAAATTTGAGGTCAGAGTCCCTTAATTAAGAGGGACAGTTTTTAGATATTTTCTTCCTTAAATTCGGAGGGACGGTGGCCCGCTTAAAATGCAGGGGCATAGTCCCCCTTAAGTCGGGGTCACGCTGCTTATACTTCATACAAAATACATTCTGCAGACATGTTCCGAAACGAGTCGCCTCGACATCCGCGCTTCGTACGCCACGAGGTAACCAATCAAGAGGTTACTTTCTCACGTGGCATACAAAGCACGGATGTCGCGGTGACTCGTATTGGAACATGTCTGCAGAATGTATTTTGTATGATGTATAAACAGCGTGACCCCGGCTTTAAGTTACCTCTGTTATTGTATCGTACAATTTCTGCTCTTTCGTGTTTTGAGTGTAAGCTGACATGCTGCACTGCACTTCTCGCACTTTTGCTGATATGGTTTAACCAAAGTATGTGTTAAAGAAAACAGTAACAATCTTTAAGAGTAAACACTGTTTTATTTGCCATGACACAAGAAAATATTTTGATATGTCTTCATCAAAATAATAATTCTATAACGATGTTCTGGTAGCTTTTACGAATAAAAAAAGACTTAGAACGACGCCAGAAATCGGCGTTTCTTGGAAGCTATCACACAAAACATTTCGTGCTGCAGAGTGACTCATTTTGCCTATCATAAACAACAACAATACAATCGTGCTGGAAAAAAAAAAAAAACTTTTTTTAGCGGATAACACAAAAAGAAAAGTACATTCTAAAAAAAAGCCCGTGCGTCTACTTTCCCGCACAACACTTGGAAAGCCAATCACCATAACTCTCGGAGGCAGCTCAGCGAATGTAGATGCCGAAACATATGATTATACCAAAAAAATGAGTTGCGACATTAAGCACAACAAGCGTGATGTTTTGCATTGGTTAATGTCACAACTCGGACTGGCTTTTTTGGTCTAATCTCATGTTTCGGCATCGTGATTCGCTGAGCTGCTTCCGTGAGTTACGGTGATTGACTTTCCAAGTGCTGGCTCGGGAAAGTAGATTCCAGTGCTTTTTTTTTAGAGCGTAGTTACCCACTTCATAGCATTAAAAACTAATTATTCGGCGTCTCTTGCCATCAGCAGAAACTCAGAATTTCTGTTGTTATTGAACGGCCATAAGCGATTTTATGAGCTTCTCCGACATAAACTGAATCGAAACACTTTATTTTCAACGAGCAGACCCTAGAAGAGTCCAAGGGTTTGTCCACATGCCACGGGGTAGGAAAGTACCGTTATGTAATACACCCATAAGCACATGACTAGTGCCCCCTCCATAGTCGTGCTAGCGGTGAGTTTCACTGACCAGTTCCCAGAAACGATCCCTTTCTCCGAAACGAAGAAAGTCTTGGGTCTTGGAACTTTTTCGTCACGGTAAAATCGTCCTGCAAGCAGCAATTCTTAAAAAAAAAAAAAAAAATTGCGTCAGCGTCAAACTTAGATTTCTATTTTTGCATTCGCTTTTTCACATACCATAGGTGATGAAAGAACTTCTGGCCAATCGAGACCGGAGGATGGTCTTAATGTTCAAGAATGTTGTTGGGTTGTCTCCGCAGAAGGCCCCTTTTACCTCCTCCAGGTTTCCCAGCATGGTGACGATCGTGTTATGGAACCGAAGTTGTGCATCCACCTTTAGCTGAATGAAAGACCATATTGTTTTCCTTTAGATACAGAGGGTGGGAATTAGAATAAAGGTAATTGTTAAGTGCTGAGTAATCAGGAGTCGCTTACGGAAAGCACATGCAACGAGTAGCTTTACTCTGCGATCGTGATGGCGGCGTGACCGAATGTGCCTGCATGCGCAGGCACGTACACTGTCTGATGTCGCAGAAGAAGACGAGGGGCGTGTTCTTCTTTTTCCATGTTATGCCGGACATAACACCTCCCCCCACTAGACGTCATGTCCATATCTTTGAGGTGGTCGCCGGTCTCGGGAACTTCTTCGAGTGCCTGAAGTTTCAGGCTCTGCCGGCGGCACAACAGGAAGCGATTCCTCGGGAATAGCAGTTGTGCTGTTGTCCCTGATGGTTGTCGCGGGTTGCGGAGCCTGGTCATCACGGCTGTTAATGTCCCATGCGGGTGCCACAGCTGTCTGTGGAGGTTGATTATGCGATGCCACTCTTCGCGGCCGTATATGGTTGGTGTGCCGGCGAATTGAACCTTGCTCTACCCGAATCATCCAAGTGTTATGCCGGACATAACAGTAATGAAGTGCTTTCACCTGTTATCAAGCAGGCGATAGGAAACAAATGCGAAAATAAAGTGCAAACAGTTCAAAGATTCGGAACCCAATCTGTATGCGATGAAATAGCGAGTGACATTAGCTTATGACGCAACTTCTGCTACTATTAATTTTTGGTACGAGAATAGACTGCAGTTTTAATAAATTTACGAGAATCAATTGTTTCTGTATTACCAAGACAAAACGAAAACGCATTTAGTAGTAGATGAGCTTTAGAAGCCCGATGTGCTTTGGAAAGCATGGATTGCATTTGCGGCTCGAAGCTGCAGAAGTGATCTAGCGCATGTTTTAGAAAGCAACATAATCACATAAAAAAATACATTTCTGTAGATATTTCGCCGCAAGCCATTCATTTTTTTTTTTTTTTTTTTTTTCAGAAGCAGTGCATATGCCAACAGAACGTAAATAGAGCCTACCTACATACCGGAATACAAAAAGTTAACAATTACCGAGTTCGTTGTGAACCGTGTGCGGGTGGCCGCAGTAGGCTCACCACTCAGGGTGGTGCGTTCCACCGTGCAGAGGGTCCCGTTAGAGCTCTTTACACGAGCAATCCGAGCGGAACCCCCGCCTGATTCCCTTCATGTCAACGTTCGTTGCCATTGCCTCACTCTGAAAACAAGATTGTTAATAACGGTCAGTCATTTAACGCCCACAGTCAACGCACTAGCCCTAAAGCGCATAAGAAAGAAAAGAAAAAAAAAGCAAACTTTTGTTTATATATTTTTCGCGGATGCACGACACAGAAAAAAAAAATATTCAGCCAGCTACAGAAAACAAAGAGCATAATAAACATCATAAATAAAATCTCCAAAAACAAAAACATGGTCGGCGCCAAAAAAAAAAAAAAGCCGGTAGCTGTGCCGGCACGACCGTCAAAATATAAAGAACAAGACAATACGCCAAAGAAATACAAAAAAAAAAAAAAGTGTACTCCCTGGCCGCCGCTACACCCTTCCCCCAGACGCCGCGACGCCGACGCAACGCGAACACGCGAAGAAAAAAAAACCTTTATTTCTTCTTTTTGTTTTGTGCTCGTCCAATCCCCCTGCCCTTTTCACAAACATACACACACATTATGGGTTTTTACTCGCCGCCCACTTGAGAAAAAAATGTTCATAATCACTGCAACGCTAACGACGTCTACAACATAACGTTGCAGTGTAAATTGCTGTAATGAATTGTGAAGGCAAACAAACGCAAAATCGCCAACATTGTTTCTGTCAATCAAAGCTCTCGGGCGGTCAACTTCAAGCATTTAGAGTGCACACCGAGAAAGAAATCGGCGAGCCAAGCTTACAAACACTGACTGCCCCAGCTAGGGCGCCTTTATGTTGGCTTTGCCTTAGGGAGGGTGATGCCATCCTTTGTAGTACTCGATGCCGACAGTGTACGCTCACGGATAAAATACCAGGAAATTGCCGGTAATAAAATGCCGGCGTAGCACTGCCAAAGTTAGCAGCTCGAGCTGGGAGAAGATCGATCGCGCGTTCGAAATTGAAAAGTAGACAAGCGTCGGACAGAAAATGGTCTGATATCACCAGCTTAAGACAGACGCGTACACATTGGGACACCCTAACCCGCTAAAAGTGTTTTGTGCGAAAGACAGCCCTGCGGCTCACGGCAGGGCAAACGATTAGCGACGCTTTGTCCTAGCTGAACGAGCAGATCCAGGAAGCGACCGCGTCCGCGGACTACAGCTGAACACTCTCACTCTACATGCAAAGCTCGTGCATCTCACGGCCAGCGTGAAAATATTGATGGCTCGTTATTCCCACCCGCAATGCACCCAAAACAAAAGCGCCAATATGACAGGATTACTCACCCGAAGGAAGTCAAACGAGCAGCATGACGCTTGCGACTCTCTGGCAACGACCGTTTCCAGCTCTCCGTGAATTGGCGCGAAGCCTTAGCACCGTCTGAACTCTTTGCCGTGGATTAGAGCGCCTGCCCCCCTCCTCCTGACCGAACTACATTGGTCCAGTTAAGAGGGACCGGTCCCCTCTTAATATGAAGGGACACGCGTGAATCTTTTTGTCTGTCTTTCCTGTTCAGAGGGACTAACGAAACGGTTTCCTTGGTCTCTCTTAATATGTTGGTGTCCCTCTAGATGTTGCTATTTTATTTTTCAATTTCCCTCTTAAAAAGGGCTGTCCCCCTGAAAGCATTGTTGTCCCCTCTAAAATCAGAGGGACAGCGTTTTTTATGAGGGACCGGTTTTAGAGTGTAGGACAGAGAGTGCACAACGACATGGAGCTAGAAGCGGAGGTATGGTGATCACTTGCTATAGCTTCTTCCAGCACCCCAGCACGGTTCCACGCTTCATGCTTCTGTGTCACCATCACCATGAAATTATCATAGAACTCGCAGCCGTGACATGAGACTGCCCTCTGCACTGTATTTGTGATTTCGAGCTCCTCTCGCCCTTTTATCCTCGTCCACATTTTCTTGCCAGCTCGGCGCAGGGAGCGTTTGCAACCTATCTCACCGGCAGGGCTTTGAAAAAGTTTGTTTTCGCCGGACCTGTCAGTCGCCTCCCGCTTATCTAGTTACCCCACTCTCTATGCGATCTGGGCGATAGTATGTTCAGAAAACGAGATCACATGTTGCAAGACTCACGGTTGACTGGTCTCACGAACATGTCGCTTCCGCCTTTGTGCCAGCTTTTTGTGACTAGACCATAGGAGCTCAAGGTGCCACTGCTACCGGCACATTGATTATCCTCTGCTTGGTTGTCGCGAGACCGCTCTCGCCCTGCGCGATGGTCACAACCTACCGCAAAACATGTCTGCTTTGCAGGGACGTTTATGGAATACTAATTTGAAGGTGTCGATGTTCACGTGTTTGACTTTTTGTTTTGTCAATACAATCTCTCTAAACCTACAACAGACTTTACATTCGTATTTGTAGGGGTGATCGGTGACACGACTATGTTGACGCTCTGAAGCACATGTAGCACGCGCTGACGCGCTGAAGCACACACCTCGCATTGTAGAACGTAGGCACCCTGAGTTCGATCCCATTCCCTGCCCGTCTGGATCTGGATGAAGATATAGTGCTGACGTGCGTTGGTGTATCAGTAGTGCCAGATGCATGTTAAAGACCCTTGGCTTAGGGGGCATGCCACGTCAGTCGGTAAGCGATTGACGGCATTTTTACAGTGCTGTACTTTTTGGCTGACTATGACAATGCCAACAATAAAAAAAAAAAAAAGATTGGTTACCAAGTGGGTTAGCGCACACCAGCTCGGAGCACATGGAGCGAAAGCTCGCGCTGCAGAACCCAGGGATCCTGGGGTCAGTCCCTACCCCTGCCCGTTTCGATCTGGATGAGCATCGTACCGGCGTGCGGTCGTGTATCACGGCAGCGTGGTACACGACAGCACGCCGACCAGAAATTGGCGGTTGTACCACACTGGCTAAATTGTTCATCTACAGCTGAGACACCAGACACCCACTGGGGCAGACCAACTTAATTCCGGCTGTATGAACATACACGCAACAATTTGCTTTGTTTTACCCCAGGCTTAAGGTGGTACTGCGGCGAATAAATTTTTTTATCTACAGCGTGTAAAAATGTTGTCATAAGAGAAAAGACAGACTAAAATATCGCTTGGGTTTGCGCTAGTTGATTTTTAATTATATTTTCGTTAGTTTTGCCTTTTGTGTGTGATTGTCGTCCTTCTTCGTGCCAGAATGTAAACATTAGCACCGCAGAGCAAAAAATAAATTAACGCTTTCTAATTTAACGTTCAATTATATTTTGTCTGTGATGTTACCCCTGATCCTTCGTGGTATACATCTTTGTTCAGAATTGCCCCCGAACAAAAACCCTCCGTCTGCGTTAACATTTGATGCCATAAGGCCTTAACACAACAATATTATGTCAAATATGTCGCATAGATTTCTGAACATCTTTGTGCTCTGCCTGAAATAAAAATAATGACGTTCGGATGCTTGCCGGAATAAACTCTTTTTTCTAGAGGTTTAAGCTTGAGCAGCATTATCGGTATTCGACAAGCGTACGGTTTCTAATGCCGCGACAAATCTTGCCGCAATACGCATATGCACTGTTTCAAGTACACCCACAGGTCATTAAAAAAAGTAATAAACAACTACGCTAGTATGAACGTGTTGCAGGTTTACTGCATGCATTCCTAAAACAATCGATTGAGTAAAATTGTTTAATGACATATTGTTAAACGTTACTTGTTTTATCAACTGTTTTTTTTTTCTTTTATAGGTATGCATAGGGGGACAGTGCGTCGACACATGCCAAATGACCTTCGTATAAATCTATGCTTAAAAGGGCGGATATAACCAATCTACGAACTGGAAACTCGTGTCTTTAATGACAATCCGCAATCTCGATAAATATATAAATAATCCTTGAAACTGAGATGTGCAGTATTACGTTTCCACAATCACTTACGCAGATCTGAAATAAACAGTTAAAGGATAAACAACTGCTTGGTGTTTTCATTTTGTCTCTCTGAAGAGCTACAGTTCACTTGCCATACCTACGAATAGTTTCAGGGTCGAGCTTAAAGTTCCAGCAGACTGCAACATACCATACACTGTATGGGTGCCGCTCCGTGGGATTTAGTGACCACGTCCATTCACTCAAACCTTTTAAAGTAAAAATGTGTTATATGGCTGACTGGTAAACACTTCCTGTAACAAACTTGTAAAATAGAGACTTTTTGCTAACCGTTACCGTGTTCTGCGTATCGCACTACCAGAGTCATTAGACAGTTTTAATATAACGTTGCTGGCTCTTACGTACGCAATACGCAATGGTATAACGTACGCTAAAAATGACCTGCTCGGACCGAATTTAGTTGTGCGTTACGTTTTCGAGTGAACGCCGCGCATGATCTTGGTTAAATTTGCTAGAGCCGTAGAATTCCGCGTGCTTATAGCGCAACCATTCCCCTGGGAAGAAATATTGAGAAAGAAAAAGTGTCCAATCATTTTATCTTAGATTAAACCAAGCCACAGCTGCCTCGTCAAGCGCGCTTTTCTGCGGGGTACAGAGGCTACGAGTACGAGTGCGTAGCCAAATTCGATCACGGAGCCTCCGTCAGTCGTCCCGTGGAAACGGCACCTTTTATCAATGCTATCGCGGAATGAAATTCATGACCCTGATCTCCAGTGCATAGAGAGAACTTCGGCTATTTCTCTTAAAGTCGTTCGTCCGTCGGCGATGAACTGTGGGAATAGGCTTAGCGTTGAGCAGATCGCAGCGTTGACGCACACTGCGAGCGGCGAACATTTCCACTGTGCACTCCTTCAGCTGCACGGCGATCTGATTCGACCGCGGTAGGTCCCAGAAAGAATCGCCGAGCTGAACGCCACGCAATTTCACGTAACACAGAACTTCGAAAACACTAGGTCGCCCTTGCTGCGCCAGTCGAGGCAACCGCCATCTTGAACTGGAGCTCTCGTTGGGTCCGAGATCTCTCGAGAGTGTACCGCAAAGCCCGCTAGCCAGCAACGTATAATCCCCAGCGTTGTGTGCGTACGCAATACGTTAGCCCTTCTATTGCGTTCTGCGCATGCCCACTCACGACCCCCGATCTCCTTGCGTACGCAAAGCTTTAGCGTACGGTCCACTAAAACTGTCCTTTGAAGCATGCTCTTAAGCGCGCTTGTGCGGTCACGGTATCACATGGGCGCGCGCTTAAAAGCATGCTTGAATAGAGCTATAAGCTTTGACTGCATAGCCAAGAAACGCTGTCCCTGAGTAGCAGGAACCGGTTAATTCCGATTCTTAGTTTTATCATTATTCCACTTTATTGCGCCACCATTTTAATACATATATATTGCCGACAACTTTTGTCACCAGTGCATACTCCTGTCGAGCTTCGGTACCACGGTACTTGTCCCCGGTATCCCCGGTATGCTAAAATCAACGTCACTAGAACATCTCAGTTGAAAAACTGCCATTGAGCCTGCTTTGAAAAAAAAAAAAAAAAAAAAAATAAAAATAAAGACTTCTACAATTCTTTGTAACGCCCAATTAGAGCGCAGCTCCTGAGGAGGAGGGGAGGGTACGGAGAGGAGGGTATGGCCCCCCTCCTCATCCGTACCCTCCGCTCCTCCTCTGCTGCTCCCCTCTCATTCACCGGGAAATGTTCGCTAAATTACCCGCTAAATTTAGTGGGAAATTTTTTTCCCTAAATTTGGCGGGGGAATTTTTCTACTAAATTTAGCGAGGAATTTTAGCGGGGAAAATTTTCCGCTAAATTTAGTGGGGAATTTTCCCCACTAAATTTAGCGGGGAATTTCACCCGTAATGCAACGCGCGGTGACGTCACGACTGACATCACTCGTGTCTTTCCTGACGTCACACGTTACGTCACGTGTGACGTCATTATGAAAAACGTCCCATAATGCAACGCGCGGTTATGCCGACGCCGACGCCGCTCAAGCCAGAAACGGGCGCCTAAGAGCTGCGCTCTAAAAGTGACTTCGATCCGTACTCGAGAACCGCACTAATGGAGATCGCAACGCCGCCATTTCTCCCGCAGCGACCCATCCCGTCTGCATGTATCGGTTCAGGTCGAGTCGCGCTAGCGCCGGTGGCGCCATCTCACATTGCCATTTCGCAGTAGCAATATAAATGAACCTTCCTGTTTTGACTAGTCGCTAAAGGATGGCGCTGTTACCGTATTTAGTTTGGTCGCGGTGGACGCGAGCAGTCTGGGTTTCAAGGGCGAGTTTTCCAACTGAGTGTTTTAGTAACGTTGACTAAAATCAAATGTTGCTTGATTTGAACGGTACGTGGTCGCACATGCGCAGTCGGGCCCACGATAACTGTAGTACGGTAACAGTCTGCTAACTGTAGTACGGCACGCAGAACACGGTAACGGTTTGCTAAGAGACCGAGCCTCACACGAAGTGCAGTGCTAGCATTCGGTTGGTACTCGGGCCCACACTGACTGAACCCGAGTCCCAGCCTAAGGTTAAAGCAGCACTCTTGTCTAATCGGCTCTCAGCGCTGGCCTCCGGTGAGTTTGAAAAGAAAGAAGTAAACTTAAAGGCAAGGTCGCATGTCTGGATAACCGGCCTTTCTCTGTGGCAAAGGTACTTTGTGTCTGGAAGGAACAACCACACCAAAAACCAAAGGTAAAAAGGTCTTTCTTTTTGCTTATGTAAGGCTTGTCTGGAATTCTGACTTCAGTGGACGAACCTCTGGGTTCGTGAAAATGCCGGGATTTAGAGTTCCAATTCTGTCCCTCCTACGCTTTTTTTCTTGCCTCTTTCTTTCCGCTTTAAACCTTTCCCTTAATTTCCCCAATCTTCTCCTCTGGCACATGGTAGCCAACCGGTACAATGACCCAGGATAATCTGTCTGTATTTGTGTTCGGCGCGCTCGCACATAGTGAGTTTTGTGTGTGTGTGTGTGTGTGTGTGTGTTTGTGTGTGTGTGTGTGTGTGTCTGGGTGTGTGTGTAGGAGGGGGCTGTTCAGGAGGTGAGAGGGATTAGAGCAATTCGACAAACATATGCTTCGTATGATACAGGGAGACGCGAAACAGCAGGTACAGAGCTGAGGAATGATACCGCAAGGGATGGAAATTCGGCGTTCCATACTCCCGCCGGAGAGCTGGCTTTGGCAGGGATTTTTTTAAGATACGCTACACACTGCGTTGTGTGCGTAGTCGAGGCGCAAAATGCGTACCATGTTCACACGTGCAACAGTACCGCAAAGAAATCCGCAGCATATCTTGTGTTACCACAGCCTTTACCCAACACCTTCTAGAACAATCAATGAACACACACCTACACATAATAAAATGAGCGAACAACGTTACGAAACTGTTGAAAAAAACAGAAGAGAGGGAAGACGCTGAAACACATATCTGCCTGCATGAAACTTCATCACACTGTAGGATGGCATCAACTCAGCAATAGACATTTTCGAAAAATCCAGGATACCTCCTGGTGAGGCCCGGCCCGGGGAATTGTGGGTCTGTACCGACGTACGCTCGTACCGACTCAAACGATTCGTATATTCTGGAAGCGGCACGATTCGTTATCTCTCACCACCAGGGTAGCTAAACTCGTCGAGCACAACTTTGTGTCCGAAAGTTGCGGAACGCGTTAATTGGACTCTCGCGACGCTGACGTCGAGCCGAGCGAGCTGTCAATCATCCAAGCTCTCTCGGTGCTCAAATTCCAGCGAGAATGTAAAACACAAAGTCGTAGCGAGCTCCATCGAAGCGCGTGCGAGCAACACCGTGGTGCCAGCCGATTGAACGGCTGCACTGATGACGTCTCGCCCGAGTGTCCCTACATCCCTACGCCGCGTTACAGTCAATAGGGAGTTTTCGTAGATCGTTTTCGCCGTCCCGCAAGGCCCTCCGCAACCCGCTACGATAGCGGGAACTCCACAGTCAAGGCTATCGGCGCGCAGGCGCAGTAGCAACTTCTTCGTTGCGGAAAGCTTAGCGGAGGGGGCAACGCGGTCTACGAAAACTCCCTAATGATGCGTAGATTGTACCTAGGCGGCCGGAAAATACTCTGAACTTTCTCGTCGCAAGATCGTCGTTTGTGGAAGTTACTGGTGACGACAAAGTGACGTTTCACAACTTTGGGAAGGAGTTATTTGAGGCCAAAATCTTCGCTTCGGAATCGAGGCGAAGATTGAACTTTGTGATGTTGTGGAGCCGTGCGCGGTGTACGCGGGCGGCTTTGTAGAGCGCATCTTCCGCCACCGTCAACAGCGCCACCGGGGTCACCCGCAGGCGGTTTGTGTAGAGACGTCGGTAATGTCTGAGAGATGAGGGGAAACGGGGGATAAAAAAAAAAAAAGCCGAAGAATGGGAAATAAAAAAATTAAAGACGTTTACAAATCTTTGTAATGCAAAATTAGAGCTCAACTCTTGAGGAGGAATAAGGGAGGGTACGGAGAGGAGGGTATGCCCTCCTCCTCCCCTCTTCCTCTCCTCCCCTCCTCCTCCCAGTCAGTTTCTCCGCTAAATTTAGCAGGGAAAAGGACATCACATGACAATCTAGCGGAGAAGTGAATTGGCGTTGAAGTCACGTAGCTGGGAATTGAATTGGTGTTAAGGTCATGTGACGTCAATTTCGCGCTAAATTTAGCGGGCCGGTTACGCCGACGGCGACGCCCACGCCGCGAAACCCGGAAACGGGCGCCGAAGAGCTGCGCTTTAAAGAAAGAATTAAGGTACGACACACACACACACACACACACACACACACACACACACACACACACACACACACACACACACACACACACACGCACACGCACACGCACACGCACG